TCCTGAATACACCTAATGTGTCGTTTCTGAACACGCCAGATGTACTCCATCCTCACCTTGTCAAGCAGAGGGATACCCATCAGGTCTCTGCCCTTGTCTCCTAAGAGCTTGTGGAGCAGACGGTCAATTAGCTGGATGGTGGTCTGCTCTCCACGAGTTCTCCGTCGACAGTGGAAAGCCAGGTCATTCTTAGTAATGCGCTTGTCCACCAAGGCATCACTAATAAACGACACACCCTCCTGTCTGAGCTGCTCACGGACTGCCCGGCGCAGTAAAGCCACATCTTCTGGATCCCACTCAAAAATACAAGATGACAGGCCAGCCATAAAGGTGGGATACAACGCATGGGCGTCTGTGGTGCACCCTGCAGACATCCTCCGCATAAAGTGCCAGATGTCCAGCCTAATTTGGAGGTTGGGCCACTGCGCAAACTGTTGCTGCAGCTTGCTGAGTCCCTCCTCCACGCAGCAGTGGGAATCCACATACAGGACCTTAGGAGGAGCCACGCCAGCCTGGCTGTATCTCTTCATCAGGTCAGATGTCATCAGGTCCAGACCTGCACCCTCCTCAGCAGTGAGACCACTGATGAGGATTTGACCAATCTCGTTGCCCACAGAGGTCAGCCAGAATGCCATCCCCCTGCCTATGCCAGCCAACTTCTTTGTGATCTGAAATGACACAAAAGTAAGTACATTACAGTTATATACAAACACACACATTTATCTGGTATGCCTACATTATATTGTTAACCTTTTTAGTTGAGTCCATCTTTAAAATGGACCCAAAGGTGGATGTGATGGTGGCCTTGATGTGATCCATCCGGCTGATGATGTCTCTGCCATACACAGACAGGAGCCAGCGACTGGTGGGCACATCTATTGGTTCAGGGGGTTCCTGGCAGGCCACTGGGAAAAGGCTGGCGCGGTTCACAAAGCTTGCACACTCCTCCAAGTAGTAGGCCAGCCGGTTCAACCATTCCTCACCGTGGTTCTTCTTTAACTGCTTCACCAGTCGGGTAGGGCTGTTACCCAGAGTCCGGTCCCAAAGCAGACGAATAACGTGGATGTCACATGCATACCTTGATTTAGAAAATATGTACTATTAGTTCATATAGATTTTTAGACCTTTTTAGTACTTTTGTTTGGTAAAATACTTCAATACAACAATAGCTTTAACCACATCACTTATGACTACTTATAATTACTTAATATTTTCAGCAGACACTGATTCAAAACTTTACTGAACTGTTATTTAAACTTGTAAAATTACTGAGTAAACTCACTTCTGTGTCAGGATGAGACAGAACATCTTTTGATGGGGTAAGTCTAGCTGGTCCCGGACTGTCTGACTGGTAGACAAAAACGTCAGGCGACACACAGTACACCTGAGGATCTCTGTCACCAGCAGATAGAAGGTATCAATGTCCAGGACTTTGCGCACTCTCTTATGTACACCATAGCCAGTCAGCTGCTTGCCACAGGTTGGACAGAACACCCTAACTTTCCACTGGTGGTAGGGCATCCACACCACGAGCCGGTGGGTGAAAAAGCGGTCTGGTGTTGGAGCCTGATGGTAGATGTGCAATGGCACGGGAGGCTCATACCACAGCTTTAAGTCGGGGCGCAGCTTTCTGGCATGGTAGAGGGCAGAGGCAATCCATCGTTGATCCTGCACTGGAATCGAGTTCTTCATCTCAACAGGAAGCCAAAATGAAGCAGAAGCAGGGCCAGCCAGATCCTCACCCTAAGTACATGACATTAAATAAAATTTTTGAAATTCTTGTTTCTACTTAATTCTTTCTACTTCCTTCCATTCAATCCTTTATTAAGACTTTTTAAAAAAAGGACTGAATGGAATTATTGTTTTCAGCATATGAACAGAAACTAGTGTATTGTTAAAATAAGAACTTACAACAGAGCTGGCAACAACTGTAGACATGGTGGTGTCTGTGCAGCATTAATACAGCCTGCAGTAGTGGTCTTCAAAGCAGCCTCAAAAGGACTAGGGCTACCTGAGGTGGTGGTCCTAACAGATACCTCACCAGGACCAGGGGTGCGAGGGGTGCCAGGAGTGACGGTGTAGGTCTCATCAGGACTGGAAGGGATGACAGTGTAGATGGATGTACTGCCAGTGCTGGCGCTGCTTGAGGTGATGGCAGGGCAGGGTAGTGGCTAGAAACAAAGAAACATGAGGAAATTAAAGAAGTTATAGTTCAAAAGATTTATTCAAGATGATTAATTTGTCGTATCATGCGTACCTGGCATGGCTTACGAGAGACCAAATTAGGTTTGGCCACAGCACTGTGTGTCCCACCAAAACGTTGCCTATCAAACTAAAAGAAGAGGAGCAAATCAAGTAAGTGGTTTAAAAACATCTACGGCAAAAAACATAATTATGTCTGCCTATAATAAAGCAACAAGACTTACATAAAATATAGACATGTATAGAGATATGTATGTGTGTGTGTATATGTATACATACATACATACATACATACACACACACACACACACACAAATATTTCCACAGTCTCTCCCACTCCTTACTTTCCCTCTCCCTCCCCTTTGTTTTATTTATTCACTCAGGGTCATATTTCCTCAAAGTAACGTTAAGTAGACATGACACATAGGCCTATTATAGTCAGATTTACAGATTTTTTGACGGTCCTAAATAGCCACAAATATATATATATATATATATATATATATATATATATATATATATATATATATATATATATATGCAAAAATATCCCAACGTAACGTACATAAAAAGATAACCAAACTCTGTAATGACTATGTTTACATAACATTAACATTACGTGGCTGCCTTGTTTCTAATGACAATTTCAGCACATTAAACCGCATTTCCGAACTAAAGTATGACTTTACAAAGCAGACAATGCGCATTTGATCAATACAGTAATTCATGGTAAGCATTTAATAATACATCTCACAATAAACGTTGAAACAAAGGACGAAATTCACCTAATCGTAGCCCCTTCAACTCCAAGGAACCGTGGGCGGTTCAAACCATCCGACCTGGCCATTCGCATCGACATAACTTTTGCATCAGTTCCATTTCCAGAGTAATTACTGAACGATACGCTTCAACATGAATAACGAAATAGTAAGCATGGATTTTACAGGGTTTAATGGCCATTCATTCAATGCTCTTTATCTAAAGTTAGTAATAGCAATCTTTGCTCACTGCCATGTAAGTTAGCTAACGATGTCACACAAACAACATGAGAAACTACACAGCGTTAGCGTTATACTAATAGAAAACATAAAAATTCATTTTATTTAACCAATCCAGAAATGTTAACCTTTATTAATTGGCCTGCAACCACATAGCAAGGTAAATAACACTTTAGCTAGCTAGGTAGGCACACTGTTTACGTACCGTCACGAAGTAAAATGTAAAAAAAAGCAAAATGACAAACTTCTGTGTAGCTCAGCAAAATTTGCGGACTCTGACTGACGGCTGAGCAGATAAAGCCCTCAGAAATGTAAATGACTTACCTACTGCAGTGACAGTGACAGATTCCTGTATCCTCTAAAGAGTGATTTGAGTTTTTGAGGTGTGAGAGCAGTCTCTTCTTTTTCTTCTTCTTCTTCTTCTTTCTCGATAGGTGACGGACTTCGGCAATGAAAATTACAGTATTTACAGTATTTATAGACTGAATAGGGATTTGGAGGGAAGCCATTTCATTGGATTAAATTTATATCGTACGAGCGGGAGAGGTTTTAATTCGCTATTAGCTCAGTATCGTATGAGCGGGAGACGTTTTAATTCGATTAAAAACTAAACTTTAATTCGCTAACTTTATTTCGAATGTACATCAAAATTAAAAACATTAAATAACGTAAACAAATAAACTCTCTCATATTTTTCAGACAGCCAGCTCTTTAAATCACCCGGGAGGCCACCCAGTCCACCTAGTACAGTCTGTCATCTCAAGGCTTGACTACTGCAACTCGCCCCTAGCTTGTTTTCCTTTGCGGCCTATCAGGCCTTCACAACTGATCCAGAATGCAGCAGCACGACTTGTCTTCAGCTTCTGCTGCGTTCCCTGCAACAGCTTCCTGTAGGTGCCCGCATCATATTTCAAACCCTGATGCTTGCCTACAAAGCCCAAAACGGACCAGACCCTCCCTACTTTATGGCAGCAGGCAATATTTCGAATGTACCTCGAGCCCTTGGAGCTTCAAGTAAAGCTCAGCTTGTCCGGCCATCTTTACAGACACAGGGAGAACAAGCATCAAGACCCTTCTCTGTCCTGGCGCCCGGGTGGTGGAACGAACTTCCACTGGCTGTCCGAACAGCAGACTCTCTGGCGGTCTTCAAACGCAAGCTGAAGACCCATCTCTTTTTGAAGTGCTTAAGCGAACACTGATCTAAGTACTGATTGGAATGCATTGTATTGTGCTTATGCTATGTTTAACTGTGTATTCTTCTTCCTAGGTATTAGCGCTGGCTTTTGTATCTGGCATTATCTGAGCTCACAGGCAGTTCAGACGCTAAGCTATTTGTGCTAGCCAGCTAGGCTACATTCTCTGAGTAGACAAGAAAGCACTTTTTCAAGTTGCTCTGGATAAGAGTGTCCACTAAGCGCCGTAACCGTGAATAACAGAAAGAAGAACAAGTCAGTGGCCCGTACGGGGATCAAACCCGCGACCTTGGCGTTATTAGCACCACGGACGCTGTATCCAGGCAAGAGCGCCCCTGCCTGGTGATCAAAGATGCCTACGACACCCCGGCTGCATGCATACTATCATCGGGCATGTTCAGTGCACCTGCATGCTCTACTTGGCTTGCACAGCACAGATGCAGGCATAAAGGCAGCCTCCACAGCCGAAATAGCTCAGTTGGGAGAGCGTTAGACTGAAGATCTAAAGGTCCCTGGTTCGATCCCGGGTTTCGGCAGGGGACGTCAGAAACCTGTCTTTTTCGGGCACGGGTGCTGCTCTGCCGTTCGGGAGCTGGTTCGTGGTGCCCTTACTTCCTTGGCTCACGGGAAGTCCATGGAGTTTTCGCTCTGGGCGTGGAATCCAGTGGTCCGAGTCGGAGTCTCGCTGGAACCTGCCGTTGCTTCCAAGAAAAGAGGTGCGATATTACCTACATTTGCATTCTCTCCACTCACTCTGTATATATGTCTGTTTTATTCATACTTGCATATCTGTATATATGTATGTATATATGCTTTTATTTTTAACCTCTCTACCGTTCTTGATTGTACGTAATGTAAGCACAGCATCACTTACCGCGGTTAATTTCCTGCACTTGAAACGTGAATAATACTGTATTTTGCACTTGTGTTTAGATGCTAACTGCATTTCATTGGCACTGTACCTGTACTGTGCAGAAGGGCAATAAAGTTGCATCTAATCTAATTTAACGTACATGTTGGCACGTTAACGAGTGTCAGCGGGGCGAGCGAAACGCTGTAAGCGCGGAAGCATAGCAAAGAAAGCCGTGGCCGCAGTGAAATATTCTGAAGCGATCCGCACCGTGAAGCCCTCGTCTTGTCCTCGTTAGTATAGTGGACAGTATCTCCGCCTGTCACGCGGAAGACCGGGGTTCGATTCCCCGACGGGGAGAGCGCTGGCTTTTGCAGGCCGCGCCTTCAAATCCTTTTGAGTGGAAAATTGTGACCGGCGATCTTTCCCCAGGCACCACTGCTGTCATAGCGAAACACACTAAAAGCCACGCGTTGGTCCGAAAGCAAACCCGGGCCGACTGCTTCCAAAGCAGCTATGCCCCCCGCTATACCTTTGGGCTTTGATTTCTGTGTCTTGGCTTAGTAGTAGGCAAGGCACAAAAGAAACCAAATAGTGCAAATGCTTTTTGTGAAAAATTTGCTCCGCAAAGAACACGCTGAAATTCAAACGTATTCCTCCAAGTATCGTCCTGTCTGGAAACAGGGCTCAAGCTGAGGAGCTCGCTGCAGTGCCCTTGCAGCCACCTTCACGCTGCCACGTTCTCTGGAAGTTCGACGGCGACGCAACACACGTGCTGCCACCACCACACCTGCAGCCACGGGCAGATAGGTGCCAGGCCGGTTAGCTCAGTTGGTTAGAGCGTGGTGCTAATAACGCCAAGGTCGCGGGTTCGATCCCCGTACGGGCCACTGACTTGTTTTTCTTGCTGTCGTTCGCGGTTACGGCGCTTAGTGGACGCTCTTATCCAGAGCAACTTGAAAAAGTGCTTTCTTGTCTACTCAGAGAATGTAGCCTAGCTGGCTAGCACAAATAGCTTAGCGTCTGAACTGCCTGTGAGCTCAGATAATGCCAGATACAAAAGCCAGCGCTAATACCTAGGAAGAAGAATACACGGTTAAACATAGCATAAGCACAATACAATGCATTCCAATCAGTACTTAGATCAGTGTTCGCTTAAGCACTTCAAAAAGAGATGGGTCTTCAGCTTGCGTTTGAAGACCGCCAGAGAGTCTGCTGTTCGGACAGCCAGTGGAAGCTCGTTCCACCACCCGGGCGCCAGGACAGAGAAGGGTCTTGATGCTTGTCTTCCATGCGTCTGTAAAGATGGCGGGACAAGCTGAGCTTTACTTGAAGCTCCAAGGGCTCGAGGTACAAACGGAATATTGCCTGCTGCCATAAAGTAGGGAGGGTCTGGTCCGTTTTGGGCTTTGCCGGCAAGCGTCAGGGTTTGAAATATGATGCGGGCAGCTACAGGAAGCCGTTGCAGGGAACGCAGCAGTGCAGAGACATGAATGAACCTAGGGAGACTGAAGACAAGTCGTGCTGCTGCATTCTGGATCAGTTGTGAAGGCCTGATAGGCCGCAAAGGAAGACAAGCTAGGGGTGAGTTGCAGTAGTCACGCCTTGAGATGACAAGAGACTGTACTAGGTGGACTGGGTGGCCTCCCGGGAGACCTCCCGGGAGAGAAAGGGTCCAATCCTCCGGATGTTGTGGAGGAGAAATCTGCATGAACGAGTCAGGTTGGCGATAAGAGCTGAAAACGGTCAACTGGTCAGCCTGAATCACATCCATCTTTTTTTAGTCGTGGTTTGTGAAAGAACATGGCTTTTCACCCACAGTGGCCCTCATTTATTCTGCACGGGCCGGTAGCCTCTGGGAGGGTGAACTCCAAGAAGGAAAAAGGAAGATCTACAGCAGCTTTCCTAAACCTTGTCATCGGGAGGGATGCTGAAAAGGAGCCCACCCTGGAGAATGCGGGCATCGATCCCGCTACCTCTCGCATGCTAAGCGAGCGCTCTACCATTTCCGCTAAAGCTGGGGAACAATCGTGTGGGAGGGAGGGGGAAGAAGGAGGAAAAAGGGGAAGAAAGGGGGAAGAAGAAAACGGGAGAAAAGGAGAGAAAAAGGGAGGAAAAGAAAGAGAAAACGAAAGAAAAGGGAAACGTCGCACCCCCAGTTCCCTTTCGGAAGCTTTAGTCGACGTTATATGCCGTGGTGTTTTTAAAAAGTTACAAATTCCCACCTCGATGTGAATTTCAGGACGGGCAGACATGACCGCCACGGCGGAGGATCGAATCCCGCCTCGGACAGAGTGGAAGTTCGCAACGTACAGCCGCAAACTGTGTGTATGCTGCTGAAAGTAACGTTGAGTAAGGGGACATGAATGCATTGCAGTATAATGCATTAAATTATGAAATGTATCATTTCCCTTCAGTGATTTAAATACCATTAATGTACATTATAATTATATAAATATATTTTTTTCTCTACGTAAATTACACAGATTATGTTACTGTTCTTTGACCACATTTCCTATATACAATAATTGTTTGTGTTTGTAAGCATGTTGATTCCCTTTTTTTCATTATGAGATTACACAAAATTAAATTATAAACTGTAACTTATATTTGTTCTTCATTGATTTTACTTGTATTATGCTTATTACTGAACACTGAAAAAAAGGGGTAACTATATAAAACAGTGATGCTGTAACTGAATTGCATATATTCATTGATGAACAATGAAAGAGTAATACTTATAAAAACACTGGGTGCTATAAAAACAAGTGAGTGCAAAATATGTGACAATTTGAACATTTGCAAATATTTATTGATGAACATTGATGAAGGCAAACCAGTAACTACAGGAAACAGTGTTTGCTATAACTTATGATCAAAATGTTTACTACTGAAGAACACTGAATCAAAATCAGTTTAACTATAAGACAGTGGATACTATATAACAGAAAGTGCAATCAGCTATACAACAGCAGGTGCTATAAATTAATGCACAGGCTCAACTATTCTCTGCCTCAACACACCTAGTCTAGTGGTGTGTTGAGGCAGAGAATAGTTGAACCTGTGCAGGGCAATGTGTCCCCAGAAGCAGAATGAAAGCACACTGATTTAAATCACAGTAACCACTGTGTGTAGTTACAGTAGTTTACTGTGCAGCACAGTAGGTCCCCATGAGCAGGATCAAGAAAAACTGACTTAGACAATCAAAAATATTCAGCATTGATCAACATAGAATAGAGGGTGGGACAAAACTATAAATAGTTGCTTATCTAAACAGTAGCTTAAATAAATGCAATTATTGAACACAAAGAAATACAATAACCATCTAAAACAAAGGTTATATCTCACACAAGCAAAAGTGCTAAATATTGATGAAGAATTATAATATAATATAATATAATTAATATAATATAATATAATAACCATGAAACAGTGAAAGCAATCACTTAGAGAATGAAAAATGCTTAATACTGATACTGATGAATACCCAAAAAGTAATACAATATGGAATTAATTATTAATATAATAATTAATTCTATAAAATAAAGATATACTATACTATTATTATAACTATAAATCAGTAAGTGCTATAAAACAGTGCAATCAATTATAGAACAAATACTATAATAACATAGCATAATTACAATGTAATATTATCTTAAAATATCTAGACAAGTCAGATATTTAAAAGACAGATATGTTAAAATGTTATATATGTATTAAAGGCAATGAGTGCAATCAACTATAGAATAAATAATAATAATAATAATAATAATAATAATAATATACCATAGACAATTAAAGCAAATATATATAATAGCATAATTATAATATAATATCAGAATATATTATTATAGCTATAAAAGTGTGGGTGCTAAAATGAAGTGCAAGCAACATAAAACAGTAACTACTTCCGTCTCATCTGCTCCAGCCATTCCTCCTTCGAGAGTGCCTCTGTCGAGGGGCAATAGATTGTCCCTTTATACTGGCTGTGCCCTGTCCCAGCAGTCCTGTACTGGCCACATTTCCTGCAGGTGTTTGTGAGGACTTTCTTTTGGTAGGGTTTTCGGCGAGCAGATGTGGTAGAAGTGGTGGCAGGCAATGCTTTAGAAACACTGGCTTGGGTAAGGGGATACTGCTGACTAGGAAGCGGAATAAAAGTAATTACATGGGTTTGTGGGGTACCAAAGAGGACAGGAGGCATGGAAGATGACGGCAAGAACTGAGGAGGCCCTGGGGTTGGAGGCTTTGGAAAAAGCTGCCTCTTTGACGCCACCTTGGGTCTAACAGCTGCTGGGGCAGCCGCAACTGCATCAGTTGCCATCCTCTTAGTTACTGCCTGTCCCGTTGTGTTGTCAGGTAGGTGATAAGTGTGTGGCTCACCAGGTACCTGTGGAGTGACAGCAGGACGCACATTTGCTGCCAGGAGAGTCTCAGCAGCCACCGGGACCCGACTGGGAAGGTCAATGCCCTGCAACACAAGGACATTGTCTTGCTTTTTCACCCTGCGGTTGTGCCACTGGTTCAGTGTTGTTTGGTTAACTTCCACCAGCTGTATTGATGTTTCCTGCATTATGGTGCCGTTGCCTAAGATAAGCTGCCGTATTTTGCGGTAGTCCTGAAGAATCAGTGACCATCTTGTGAGAGTGGTCCGCCCTTGTTTTTTTGGACTCTTGTGGAGGCCACAAAGCCTTACAAAAATGGCCTCAACAAGACGGCAGCAATCCGGCCACTGTGCCAGCGGAGCAGTGGTGGTAAGGGCGCTTCTCTTCAAGCTGTCCATCCCAGGAGTAAATTCAGCCCTCTTTTTAGGTGACCGGAATCTCCCAGTTGTCAGCTTATCTTGGTGCCTGGCAGCAAACACCACCCGCTGCTTGTCGTAATCAAGCATGTTCTGCCACAGGGCCACAATGGTGCTTGCCTAAAAATGAAGAAAGAAAAAGTATGAATGTTTATGCAGTCAGAGATACCACAAATCTTTATGTGAATTATAAATGTGAGAATGAAATAATGCTGCATTTCTATTTTGCACATAATAAATGCTACTAACCTGCTGTCTGCTGAGGGTCAGAGATGTTTGTGTCCTGAGCTCCACCAGATACTCTGCCAAGCTGTCTACCCGATCCATACCTGGCATGCCATGCTCATCCACTGCCTAAAACAATACACAATTAGTCATGAATGCAGTCACTCGGAACTGTGTAAGTATTATGTTTTTTGCTATACGTTATATTTATGATTAATATTTTAACACATTATTCATTATATTTATTGTGGTGTCTGTCGTGTATTTATATGTATATAACACATTTCTTTGTAGGTCAACTAAACAACTAAGTATTGACAGTGTGACTGTACTGATAATGGTACTTACCAAATGCTCTTCAGGGACCTGCTGTGGGTCACCTGAGACACTAACAGGAAGGGTGATGGTGGCCTCAGGCTGGACAGAGGGCATTCCAGGCTGGGCAGAGGGCAGCAGTGCAGGCTGGACACAGGGCGATGGTGCAGGCTGGACAGGGGGCAATCCAGGCTGGGCAGAGGGCAGCAGTGCAGGCTGGACACATGGCATTCCTGGCTGAGCAGAGGTTGACGAGTCAAGACTTGGGAACGTCAGATCCAATGAATGGTCCTCCTCAAACCCTTCATCTTCTTGTTCGTCTTCCTCTGCCAGGTCCTCCAGTAAGCCCTCAGTCTCCTCTGAGTCCGGATTGACGTCTTGCAGGGGCAGTCCTGTCTGTCTTAGCAGATAGTCCACACCAATCAGCTCTCCTAGAAATTCAAGACAATGTTATTTAAAAATATATGCAAATATGTACTTGTCTGAAGAAAGCAATTAATGTAATAATAATAATAATAATAATAACAATGTTATGTACCAGTGTACTTTGCAGGGGGTTGAAAAGATGAGACGTATTTCCTGCCAAAAACCTTCAGGCTGTTGGTGTTCACACAGTGAAGGACATCCCCCGCATAGGTCATCAGAGAGGCTGGCTGGCTAGCCACGGATGCAGCTGCTCTGTCCTGATTCCACCTGCTGAGACCTTCCAGGAGGTACAGCTGAAAATTTAAGCTGTTTGCAGTGGTTCCTAGAAAAAACATTTATAACCAAACATATTAGGTAATTTAGTAAAAAAAAAAATATTTATTTTGAGATGGCCAAGATGACTGGAACTAACCTGGAATAAATCTCTGCAGGTGGCAGTGAAATGACTCCAGTGATGTGGACCCCCTGGCACATCTGTACCTTGTAAGCACAATGCCCCCCTTGGTGGTAGTGCCTGTTTCTGTGTATAGAGGTATCCCTGGCACATCCTGAATACACCTAATGTGTCGTTTCTGAACACGCCAGATGTACTCCATCCTCACCTTGTCAAGCAGAGGGATACCCATTAGGTCTCTGCCCTTGTCTCCTAAGAGCTCGTGGAGCAGACGGTCAATTAGCTGGATGGTGGTCTGCTCTCCACGAGTTCTCCGTCGACAGTGGAAAGCCAGGTCATTCTTAGTAATGCGCTTGTCCACCAAGGCATCACTAATAAACGACACACCCTCCTGTCTGAGCTGCTCACGGACTGCCCGGCGCAGTAAAGCCACATCTTCTGGATCCCACTCAAAAATACAAGATGACAGGCCAGCCATAAAGGTGGGATACAACGCATGGGCGTCTGTGGTGCACCCTGCAGACATCCTCCGCATAAAGTGCCAGATGTCCAGCCTAATTTGGAGGTTGGGCCACTGCGCAAACCGTTGCTGCAGCTTGCTGAGTCCCTCCTCCACGCAGCAGTGGGAATCCACATACAGGACCTTAGGAGGAGCCACGCCAGCCTGGCTGTATCTCTTCATCAGGTCAGATGTCATCAGGTTCAGACCTGCACCCTCCTCAGCAGTGAGAACACTGATGAGGATTTGACCAATCTCGTTGCCCACAGAGGTCAGCCAGAATGCCGTCCCCCTGCCTATGCCAGCCAACTTCTTTGTGATCTGAAATGAAACAAAAGTAAGTACATTACAGTTATGACATTTGCATATACAAACACACACATTTATCTGGTATGCCTACATTATATTGTTAATAACCTTTTTAGTTGAGTCCATCTTTAAAATGGACCCAAAGGTGGATGTGATGGTGGCCTTGATGTGATCCATCCGGCTGATGATGTCTCTGCCATACACAGACAGGAGCCAGCGACTGGTGGGCACATCTATTGGTTCAGGGGGTTCCTGGCAGGCCACTGGGAAAAGGCTGGGGCGGTTCACAAAGCTTGCACACTCCTCCAAGTAGTGGGCCAGCCGGTTCAACCATTCCTCACCGTGGTTCTCCTTTAACTGCTTCACCAGTCGGGTAGGGCTGTTACCCAGAGTCCGGTCCCGAAGCAGACGAATAACGCGGATGTCACATGCATACCTTGATTAAAAAAAAAGAAAAAAAGAAAATATGTACAATTAGTTAATATAGATTTTTAGACCTTTTTAGTACTTTTGTTTGGTAAAATACTTCAATACAACAATAGCTTTAACCACATTACTTATGACTACTTATAACTACTTAATATTTTCAGCAGGCACTGATTCAAAACTTTACTGAACTATTATTTAAACTTGTAAAATTACTGAGTAAACTCACTTCTGTGTCAGGATGAGACGGAACATCTTTTGATGGGGTAAGTCTAGCTGGTCCCGGACTGTCTGACTGGTAGACAAAAACGTCAGGCGACACAGAGTACACCTGAGGATCTCTGTCACCAGCAGATAGAAGGTATCAATGTCCAGGACTTTGCGCACTCTCTTATGTACACCATAGCCAGTCAGCTGCTTGCCACAGGTTGGACAGAACACCCTAACTTTCCACTGGTGGTAGGGCATCCACACCATGAGCCGGTGGGTGAAAAAGCGATCTGGTGTTGGAGCCTGATGGTAGATGTGCAATGGCACGGGAGGCTCATACCACAGCTTTAAGTCGGGGCGCAGCTTTCCGGCATGGTAGAGGGCAGAGGCAATCCATCGTTGATCCTGCACTGGAATCGAGTTCTTCATCTCAACAGGAAGCCAAAATGAAGCAGAAGCAGGACCAGCCAGATCCTCACCCTAAGTACATGACATTAAATATTTTTTTTTAAATTCTTGTTTCTACTTAATTCTTTCTACTTCCTTCCATTCAATCCTTTATTAAGACTTTTTAAAAAAAGGACTGAATGGAATTATTGTTTTCAGCATATGAACAGAAACTAGTGTATTGTTAAAATAAGAACTTACAACAGAGCTGGCAACAACCGTAGACATGGTGGTGGGTGTCTGTGCAGGACTAATACAGCCTGCAGTAGTGGTCCTCAAAGCAGCCTCAGAAGGACTAGGGCTACCTGAAGTGGTGGTCCTAACAGATACCTCACCAGGACTAGGGGTGCGAGGGGTGCCAGGAGTGATGGTGTAGGTCTCATCAGGACTGGAAGGGATGACAGTGTAGATGGATGTACTGCCAGTGCTGGCGCTGCTTGAGGTGACGGCAGGGCAGGGTAGTGGCTAGAAACAAAGAGACATTATAAGGAAATTAAAGAAGTTATAGTTCAAAAGATTTATTCAAGATGATTCATTTGTCGTATCATGCGTACCTGGCATGGCTTACGAGAGACCAAATTAGGTTTGGCCACAGCACTGTGTGTCCCACCAAAACGTTGCCTATCAAACTAAAAGAAGAGGAGCAAATCAAGTAAGTGGTTTAAAAACATCTATGGCAAAGAACATAATTGTGTCTGCCTATAATAAAGCAACAATGGTCAGACAGCATTCATACATATCAATGCATTAAATATTCACCATAGACAAAGTTAGTGCAGGTTGGCGAGGGCTCTGTACTGGGGAAGAGGGGGAGGCTGTGGTTGTGACTGAAGTCACAGGATGACTAGGGGCCTGAAAAAAGAACAAACAGATTATACATACACATATATAGACATCACATCCATTTTTTGAGATCTTCCTCAGCGTCTGTTCCTGATATTTTAAAATTTACCCTGATAATATGAAATCCACAGTTGCAACTCCGATACCCGCGAAACAAAGTGGTTTGTCCACGGGACTGCAGTGGACACTTCTCTATCTACAACAATTCACAATACATAATTTATTTCAAGATTTAAAGCTGAAATGTTGTCATCTTCTAGCTACTACATGAAAACCATTATGTATTTGCATTGGGGTACTGTACCTTCTGATAGAGGTCATACCACTTCTTTTGTCTGGGTGCGGGCCGGTTGCCTGCGTCAGAGGGCCAGATCCCAGAAGCAGCAAACCTCTTTAGGCGTGACATCCACTCGTCATCCCCCATAGCTTTGTGACTTTTAGAAGTCATCTTTCACTAACAGTAACAGACTTACATAAAATATAGACATGTATAGAGATATGTATGTATATATATATATATATATATACTTGTCTAGATATTTTAGGATAACATTATATTGTAATTATGCTATGTTCTTATAAAATTGTTACATAATTGATTGCACTGTTTTATAGCACTTAACTGATTTATACTGATTTATATATATACACACACACAAATATTTCCACAGTCTCTCCCACTCCTTACTTTCCCTCTCCCTCCCCTTTGTTTTGTTTATTCACTCAGGGTCGTATTTCCTCAAAGTAACGTTAAGTAGACATGACACCTAGGCCTATTATAGTCAGATTTACAGATTTTTGACGGTCCTAAATAGCCACAAATATATATATATATATGTAACCAAACTCTGTAATGACTATGTTTACATAACATTAACATTACGTGGCTGCCTTGTTTCTAATGACAATTTCAGCACGTTAAACCGCATTTCCGAACTAAAGTATGACTTTACAAAGCAAACAATGCGCATTTGATCAATACAGTAATTCATGGTCAGCATTTAATAATACACCTCACAATAAACGTTGAAACAAAGGACGAAATTCACCTAATCGTAGCCCCTTCAACTCCAAGGAACCGTGGGCGGTTCAAACCATCCGACCTGGCCATTCGCATCGACATAACTTGCGTATCAGTTCCATTTCCAGAGTAATTACTGAACGATACGCTTCAACATGAATAACGAAATAGTAAGCATGGATTTTACAGGGTTTAATGGCCATTCATTCAATGCTCTTTATCTAAAGTCAGCGATAGCAATCTTTGCTCACTGCCATGTAAGTTAGCTAACGATGTCACACAAACAACATGAGAAACTACACAGCGTTAGCGTTATACCAATAGAAAACATAAAAATTCATTTTATTTAACCAATCCAGAAATGTTAACCTTTATTAATTGGCCTGCAACCACATAGCAAGGTAAATAACACTTTAGCTAGCTAGGTAGGCACACTGTTTACATACCGTCACGAAGTAAAATGTAAAAAAAAGCAAAATGACAAACTTCTGTGTAGCTCAGCAAAATTTGCGGACTCTGACTGACGGCTGAGCAGATAAAGCCCTCAGAAATGTAAATGACTTACCTACTGCGGTGACAGTGACAGACTCCTGTATCCTCTAAAGAGTGAT